TCATATGATCGGTACTTTATAGTCGGTATCTCGCTATAATAGCTAGTATGGAAAAATACTTGTACTTATGTATTTCTCCACTGTTCCCGGAGAAATAACACTTATATAGTCCAAAGAAAAATGAATAAAAATCCCAGAGAAAATCGAATTGAAATATTCAAAATATTCAATAGTATCCCAATCCATCCGAATCCACAGGACCACAGTATCGGAATCCCCACGTCTGAGCTTTGGACTTTTTTTTTTTATACACAATTGTTATACAATACCTCTTTTCGGTATTATAGTCTAATTCTTGATTCTATTCTCTATAATAATTGGGTTGTCCCTACTTTTCCCTCCTGTCAACTTCTGCACGGAAATCCCTCCGGTCCACTTTGATATCCTTCACACTGGTCATATTTTGTGTGGAATGAATCCCGACACTCTGGATACCAGCAAAGCAATTGTCATTATATTCTAGTTCGATTGAATAATGGCTCAAGATGGTTCCGAAGACAAGCCCGAGGGCTTCTCTAAATACCTTAAGCGTATGAAGACCGTCCTCCGTCCTCGGTCAATGTCCAAACGACAATCTATAACTCCTGGAGTAGCTGCCCCAGCCGAAACTACGTACGATAATACAGCATTTTTCTACTTCAGCCCTATATACTAACTGGCATTGCCTATATATAGTGCACCAGAGGCAACATCACCACCTATAACATCAACACCGGAACCAGCTCCAGCTCCAGCTCCAGCTCCAGCTCCAGTACCAGACCCAGCACCAGCACCAGACCCAGCCCAAGACCTCAGCCAACCAGGTCCAGTCATGATCACCAACTACAGCACGACCCAGCATGAAAAGGCGCGCGCCCTCTTTGCTAAATACGGTCTGACCGTCGACACCAGCGACTGGAAGACACCCCCGGACCTCCAGATAACCCGCGTAACGAAGCCAATCCGCATGCGAGTGCACCGTACCTGCCATCGCTGCGAGACAACATTCGGTGCAGAGAAAGTATGCGTTACCTGCCAGCATACCCGCTGCACAAAGTGCCCCCGACACCCAGCCGCCCGCAACAAGGACGGCGAACCATCAACCCGCAAGCCTAAGCTCCCAGAGACCTACGCCCACCAACCCCACCTGTTCCCCAGGACCTCGCACCTCAAGCTCAGCACCACCAGGGAAATCTCGCTCAAGATGCCGTCGCCCACCGGCGGCCAGGATTTCGTCCGTCGGCCAGTGCGCCAGCGTGTCCACCGTTACTGTCACTTCTGCGCCTCGCTCTTTACCCCGGGCACCAAGGAATGCCCGAGCTGCAGCCATGTGCGCTGCAAGATATGCCCGCGAGACCCGGCTAAACTTGATAAATATCCTGATGGCTATGCGGGCGATGCCGATCCGCCAAAACCTAGACCCGAGCGCACGTTCAAGAAGCCTCGTCGCAGAGTCCATTATGTATGTCATGTCTGTGACACTTGGTTCCAGGGTGATGCGAACACTTGTTTGAATTGTGGTCAGGCGAAGTGTGATGAAACTAAACGAATTCCGTACGTGTGATACCAACCCTACAACTCATGCGGCTTGAGATTTCTTGCTAACATTCAATTTTTTTTTCTTAGACCTAAAAAGGTCAAACCAGAAACAAGCCCTGAGGTTCTCAGGAGCATCGAAGAGAAACTAGCAGCTATGGCGCTTGAACATACACCAGACGGCGTCGAAGCCGCGTCTTGATCTTGACACACACACACACACACACACACACACACACATATTACAGCCGACCAACACAATCATTTATTATATCTCCTGTTTCCCACTACTGATTTTTATCTCCCACATTATTCATACTGTCTCAAACTGGATCCATCCTGATGATATGCTTTATTTTTATATGTCGGGGGTTCTACCCAAGACAGACCATACGTAACATACACATCTATGGGAAGGCATTAACTTCACATTGAACGAGCCCATTTCCCTAACTAGGGTCAGCTCCAGGACTCTGCACCGGAACTAAACTACCAACACCCATCTTTTCAAATTTTTAGGTTACACATCCCTGGGCATGCGCCCCCAACACGGATCCGGATGATGTGTACATTCCCAAAATGCCTAGGGGCGGACGTGCATATCGTATTACTACTACCCACTACATTGTAAACATACGGACGCATGACTTGACGTACACATGTAAGTAAGATAGTACTTTCCGGCGCCCGCAGTTGTCAGGAGATAAAACTCGGCGGCAAGACACATAACTTCGTCACAAAAATAGACTGTATTGCGCCCAGTTTCCGTCTCCCGGGATATTAGACGTCATTCCATACCGGACATGATTCCCACCCCAGAACAAAAGAACAAAAGAACAAAAGAACGATGCAGCAAACCCCTCCATAATCATAACGGCGTTTATCCATAACCCACGCGGGCCCTAGTTTAGTCCAACAATAATGTTTCTACGTCACGACACTGTGGAGACATGCATGTGCAATTGCCTCGTCTTAATCGTGCATCATGTCTACTTTTTGCCTTCTATCTTGTATACCGGCACCCATGTCAATGTAAATGATTCCAAATTGTATTGAACCCTAATTCCCCAGGCTGAAATTTTACTGTCAAATTGATGTGGGTTGTACAGCGCCACAGAGGGTGAGCACAAACCGGAACTCTTTCTATGGACGCATTTCAGACAGAGGGATTTCGGCCGAAGAGGACTTACATCGTACCACATAACTATAAAACGGAGATACTGTTCTAAGTTTGGAGTATCTAGCGCTGTAAATGGCTTTGGGAAGGGTGGGTAAGTGGGAAATACAGCCCGTGTGGTTCCGTTTGGACGGTCCGATCCTTTTTATTATTCTTTTTACCTACAACATAGGTATAGTTACATAGAATTGGACCCAGTTGAGAATGGTGCATGTCTTTGACAGCGGGACAATTACCAAGCATTTCGTGCTCCGTTTTCCATGCAACGTTGTATATTGTACTTTTTAGTTTTCGTTGCCAGGATTGTTTTCCACAGGATCAAGTCAGACAATAAATGATCCTGTACAGAGTGGTATAGTGGGGCGACGAATAGGACGGAATATACTCCGTACGGAGGAGGGTATTGGGGGGATTGGCTTGGAGAAATCAGCCATAGCCGCTGATATCTCGATTATTAGCACTTTGAGTTCAGTCAGACAGTTTTCTGTTGTAATATGTATGGATCGATGTACTCCGCCTGATGGGTTTGTGGGTTTGAAGGTTTGAAGAGGATTGATATTTGGTGATGTTTTTAAAGATACGAATTAGCTTATGGATTGATCAGACTAGTTCTCTATGTTGTAAATGGCCCGATTGAAGATCTATACAATATATTTTTCTTTCTTATATTTCTTTTTGCTTTTTTCGGCTGACAAAAGTACCATACCCCCTGTCACTTAGTTATCCATAATTCCGGAGATCCCCCGTCTTCACTTACGGAGTAATCAACCACGGAGTAACCGAGTATGTAAACCACTGCAGGGAAATAAATGGACAGGACATAAACCCGGAAGTCCGGATACGAAAGGGCTACCCGCTGTCACAACGCATTATCGTACAGAACACCCAGATTGTTGGGTCGCGGGGTCTGCATTTTCCTCAAATCCCGAGGTCTGGACACGGTCTACGGAGTATGTATTCATGTGTTCGATCAAAAGTACCTAAAATATGCACGAAGGATAATACCGCCAATAAGCCAGGGGGGAGAAATGTCGCTTCGGAGCAAGTGTGGGCAACCCGGTTCCATAGCGCTGGGAATTGAGCGGCTGGGCAAAGGCGGCCGAAATGTGTGTCTTTTATTACAAAAAAATTTAATAGTCGCTGGGGGCTGGAGACTAGAATCCATTTCAACGGTCAACTAACCTAATCAAGCTATTTCGGTCTTTTTGTTCTCCATTGCTCTACTCCATGCGGAGTAGTGGGTGAGAGTACGCCGGCTGGCCGGTCTCGGCCAGGCAAAAGTTTTGACACGCTGTCATTACTGAAATAAACGGAATAACAGAAGTTCTACAGTTGTCAATACAGTAGTCACTTCAGTTCGAAGTATATAAGCCACTAAATCTAGTAGATTGTGGATAATCGCCAAAGTATGTGAGAACAGGCTGTCATGTCGGAGCAACCGTTTGGATACTCATTCAATGAGGTTAGAACCTCTACTACATCTAGATCTTGGCACATCAAATAACCAGAATGTCGGATTGCACTAGTATACTACTTTTTAATTTAAAAAATAATGTGTAGTGTGTCACATGGTATGACCCACGGGCATTAGTATTGAAGAGGACACTCCATACTCCGTACAGCCGTACAGAGGCATCATCTTTTATTTCCACCCATGGACAGTATCATTGAGACCAAATATGACAAATATAGAAGCAGGGGTCTCTGGGAGAGTTTAGATGCTCCTCGCCGAACTAAACTGTCTTTACCAAAGTACCGGGTTGGAGCTGTCATATCTTCAGAAGATTCAACCGCCCGTTTGAAGAATATACTTGTATTTTCCTTAATCTACTTAAAGTTTGTCTCCATCGGCCAAGGGGCTGATTTAGAGTAGACCCTCTTGTCCAAATAAGTGTAGTTATGTAGTTAGTACATTTCTTGGGTTTAGTGGATTCGATAGTTTCTGCTAACTTTGCCCCTTGTCGAGGCTATCATTTATGCTTCTGTTTTCTATTCCGATGGGCAATATATATAGACGTGCGATCGGCTATCTTAATTTTAGAGACGCGATACTCCCTGCTAAAAACACTCTTACAGGAATGTGTACCTTCCCGATTTGGAAGACTTGAGGATGAAGTTAGGTATTAGCTGTAAAACTATCGAATGATAGGAATATTAACTCCATACTATGGTTATAGATCATCTATAGAGACGGCCCCTTTTCTAGCAAGGTGTCTACGTTAGCAGGTCGCTTGCAAACACGTTGAATTCCAGGTGGCTTATTCCAATGTTCCATATCTAGACCATCCACAATACACTCAGACTAATGCTAAACCTTGACCCTCCGACTTAGTTGCTCCGTCCCTGCAGACTTCTCAAAATTAAGATCATTAACACGATCCACCCGACGACCCAAACCCCGCCGGATGATCCAGTCCTTGCTATTAATTTCCTCTTCAGTCTGACCGTCCCCCATAGTGGGAATTAGATCAGACCCCTCCAACCGACGCAACATCACACTATCCTCGGGTCGTGCAAAGTACATGAGACTGTACCGCGTCGACTCGGCCTGGAGCCCCGGTGGTGCCACAACCCGGTGAATGTTCGACCGAAACAGCCCGTTCGTAAACTTGACCATTGCATCCCCAAGGTTTACAATCGCATGACTAGGAAGTGGCCTGACATAGACCCATTCGGCATCGGCACCGGGCGGTAGCACTTGCAGTCCCCCAGTCGGTTGAAAAGAACCGTCACACTTCCAAAGTCGGTGTGCTGCCCCAGCGCGGTACGTCTGTCGTCCACTGGTTGTGGAGGGGTTTTAACGAATCGCACATGGTCACCGCTTACAGCTTGTTGTCGGTGTAGACTGGATAGTGTGTCTTTTGGTAGGGCAAGTTGGTCGTTCAGGGTGTCCAGAATTAGGGTTACGATTGCATGTGAACCTTGCATAAATGATCCCAGTCGGGCTCGGCTTTTATGCAGAGTCTCTGGTGCTGGCAGGGGATCACTGATTCCCATAATATCGTCTTTAGAAACCTGTAGATAGTTGTGTCAACTTCTGTGAAGTCTAGGTGGATGTGCCCAGTGCTGACGTACATTGTAGAACTCGATCCTGTCCAGGTTCCTTTGCTTGTCAACCACCGCAGCTCCCTGCGCTTTATACCCAAAATACGAGTTCTGTTCGCTAAAATCATACTGATTCTTCTCCTCGAGGCTCAGCTCAAATAGTTTCTCACCAACTTGGAATAGATCATCTGCATCACCCAGGAGCGATGACCCTTGGTCTGAGTCTGATAAATCGAGATAGAAGAACCCAATTTCTGTGGACGCTTGGAACAGTCTCCTATGCTCTGCAGGGTCACCTTCTAGCAGTTTTTCCGATGACAGTCGAAGAAGGGGTGCTGTAGAGACATCCTCTGGGAAGGGTGGAATCCCTGGGAAGTTGTTGAGGATGTCCTTTCGCTCGGCCTGGGACTGCATGTTGGTATAAGCAAAAATCAGGGAATTTAATAGTAGATAATAACTATAACGAAAGTCTTCTTGCAGATGTTTTATCACACTTTCAACGTTTAGGAGGTGTTGGCTGTAGAATATATTGACCTCAAACTCGATATATATGCGGGGAAGCATCAGAGAGCCGAGGGACGAACTAATCCCAGTTACCGAGAAGGTGTGTAATATACGAGAATAGATCAGAATGTATAAAATAGAAAATCAGAGTTGGATAATGTTCAAATGATGTATACAAAGTGGTTATTATGCCTTGAATCTATAGATGGCCTCCATATCTTATCGCGATGTGACATCAAATAATTTTTCTCCAACCTCCAACACCACACATTCCACGATCCCCCCATCTCCCAGTCTACCATCCCTCCTGGCCCTAGCAAAAAGAAAGCCTATACAAAAGCCACACCAAGATCCAATATAACACAAAATGGCTTCCTCGCCAGCCCCGAAAACCCACATCGCGCACACCCTTCTCTCACGCGCCCACTCCCCAGACAGCGCAACACAACAATTCACCGAGCGCATCAAACAGAAGCCACTCTTTCTCCGCGCAACCTCCCCCTCAGCATCTGACAACCGATCCCGACGCCGCCTCCATCGCCTACGCAAGAAGGAATACTTCCTCCGACACCAGAAGCCGCAACCGCTGTCAGCGCGCGAAAAGCGCCAATCAGGTCTGTACGACCTACCCAAGGAAGAATGCAAATACGCCATTTTCAAGGGCCTGCATGAACTGTGGGTTGGATATATGCAGGAGATCCTGGATGTGAAGGGCGGAGCACATGGCCATGTTTCGCCGGGGTCGCATGGAAGTAAGCTTGTTAGTGCGGATTACCATGGGGCTGAGGTCGAGGTTGTTAGGAGTGGGTGTGCTGGGAGGGTTGGTACTAAGGGGATTGTGGTTCGGGATACGAAGTATACATTCGTTATTGTTACTGAGAAGGATGAGATGAAGAGTGAGTTTTGACTCGTTGAGTTGGGAAATGGTGAGGGATCTTGCTGACTTGGTTCTCTTTGTACAGCTATACCGAAAGAGCACACTATCTTCCGATTCATCGTACCCGTGCCAGCGCCTTCCGAGGGCGCGCAGGATCAACAGACTCAGTCTGATGCGAAAGCTCCCAAGCCGTTGGTTTTCGAGCTCCATGGAAACCAGTTCGAGAATCGGCCTGTGGACAGAGCTAATAAGAAGTTCAAGTGGAGGAACATCGATTACATTTGAGACGCGGTCATGCTATCTGGTTCTCGTCAATTTACTAGCGATGGGATTGACTGCTCAGTCGTGGAGCGGCCTCGAACGCTGCAAGTGCGATTTTGCCATAAAGCTGATGGCTGTGCTCCGGGCTGCTGAAAGTCTATACCCATAACTTGCGTATTATATGAACCTAGACTCGGTCTTGTTTCACCAAGCCTACCGCATGATACCACAGTGCGCAATGTGGTAACTACCCCAACGCGAAAGGCACACGTCCCCCGCGCGACGATGGAAAGAGCGCCGAACACAAACTTTCAGCTCGAATAACCGATGAAGTCACGGTCAATTGGAATAACGATGTTTATGAACAAATTTTACCCTTCATCCCCTATAAGTTAGAGGCAGGCGAAACATACAATCTATAAGATATGATAGTACAGATTACCAGGACAATCAGTGTATTGTGTAAATGTTCATTTGATGAAATAATTTTCTGCGAGTGGCATCATATGATATGTTATTTCGAGTTGGGCAATGCATGGATAGACCATAGACATGTCGACCCTTCTTAACCACACGTTGTTTGCCCTTCCAAGCCTCCTACCCGAGTCGCTAGAAGGCGAAGCCATGGTAGACCACCTTTGAGGCGTGGATGTCATCTGGATCTTTGTTGATCGAGGATGATCCAAATCGTCGGGTGGTTCTTTCCCAGGTTCAACGAGACCAGACACAGCATCTGGTACGAGGAACCCGAAGGCAGGCAAGAACGACTCGGTAGCGTGGTGGATGAGTTCCATGGAACTCATGCGGCGGTAAATCAAAGCTATACGCCTGATAGATGGGAAATCAAAACAAATGAAGGATATGAAACCCTTCACGTCCTTCATCCCTCACATTCCAGCCCACTCAAGACTGAAAGCGCGCACAGTATCCACACGATCAGCCTCCGAATCGACCTCATCGATCTCCTTCTGTGCACCGCCAATCAAGAAACCCTTCTTCACACCAGTGCCCAGTCTGCCACCAACGACGAGATCCATCAGATTGATATTCTGGTCCCAGTCGTAGGACACCACGAGGAAGTGCGAGTGGAAGCGGAGCGGATCACCCGGATAAGCCATGTACTGACACCCAAAGCGCAGACCGGGAGAGAGGAAGTATCCCTTGGAGTGGAGGTGGGCAAAGAGAGGATATGAGGGTGGAACCACGGGAGCTTCAAGGTAGCTCGAGGGTGAAGGCGCGGGAAGAGGCGGGTAGGATGTTGCTGGGGTAATGGCCGTTACGCCCTGAGGGGGTATGTTCGTTGAGGGGGTTGATGGAGACGGTGTGTGATCCTCTGTGTTGAAGAGGTCAACGATGGCAGCGTTCTTCGGTGACGGGGTGGAAGCAGCCTCATCAGTAACCGTAGGTGTCTGGGCGGCAGCGGCAGCGGCAGCTTTGGCCTTGGCGTTCGCTTTCTTTTCTTCTATTTTCTTCAAGGTCTGTTCCCGGTTACGCTCTTTGCGATCCAACTGGATGCGCGAGACGTGCAGGCCTTGGGATTCGAGGTCGCGCAGGTACCGTCTGCGATCTTCTTCTAAGAGGGTATTCATGCCGTCGTGTGCCTTGGCTTCGTCTACGATGCAAGCTACACCCTTGTCCACTAATAACCGTGCCTCCTCGGGCATCAGCTGCAAAGGGAGACCCAGGAAGACATTCTGCTGAGGGATCTGGGGCAGCGTCCCGATGAGGACACCGCAGATGTGATGCTCACGTCGCAGGTATGTCACGGCGTCAATTGAGAACAACAGGTATCTACCGGATACATAGGAGATCGGAATAGGAAGGTCTGGTTGGAAGTCCATTTTTTCTTTTTGATTTGAGATTTGTGGGATTTTTTTTGTTTCTTTCAAAGATTCTGCGGACAGGACAGTTAGCGCTTGTCCATTATGCAAATATGCAGGTTGCCAGCAAGGTAAATTTGGGTATCGCAATTCATTTTCCAGTACGTTTCTCAGCAAGCACCCAGTGACGTATCAAAGAGCTTCAGGGGATTGACAGATTGTAGTTAAATAATCATGCGAGGGGGTGGATGGGAGATGGGAGATATGAGGGTAAAGCTTACCATTTAACAAGTATTAGAGTGTCGAGAACATAACCAAACACCTAGAATTGCTTTTGGATTTAACCAGCAAAGCCAGGGTTGATGGTTGATTGCAGAGAGAAGAGAAGAAGAGAAAAGCAAAAAAAAAAAAAGAAAAGGGAAAAGCTGAGCTTATACGCTAGCCCCCTTTAGGAATAGTCAACCTTGGCAAGCGAACTGCTGAGCATCGCTGTTCTGTTTATGATCAACTTCATTGGCATTCATTGAGTATTCCATATTTCCTCTTTTATACTGCAGCATCATGGATTTCTTGCTACTACTGTTCCTGGTATTCTTTGCACCCCTGATACTCTTTGTTGGTCAGTATTGCGCAGTATCCGCTTTTAGTCCCGACTGCATTTGCTAACACCGAACAGCATGGCTTGCAGCTTCATCCTGCCTGGGAAATCGCCTCCGTTCTGTGCGGCCAGGATTGGATGGATATGGAGCAAGCTACCTCCGCACAATGGCCAACTCGGGTCCAGCTATGTCCGAGCAGATCGAGATGGACGACATGCTAGCAGAACCAGGCACCCACCGACACTTCGAGGAGGATGATTGAAACTAGCGAATCACACCAATCATTAAGCATCTCAAAATTCAAGATCGGATTTCTTAGGCTTTCCGCCGGGGGCCGGTGCCTCTTGCGCCTCTGTGTCTCCTTCGGCCGGCGGCAGACTGAATGGCTTAATCTCGAATCGCCGGCGGCTCAAAATAAACGCCCAATCCTGTCCAACATTTTGATCGCTTCCACCTCCACGCTCGTGCAAAACTGGAAGCCGATGCGTCTTAAGCATACCCTGTGGTGGTTCTTCTTGTGCGGTTGCCGCTCCCGAGGTAGCCATGGCATCCGCAGAGTGCGGGAAGGGACAAAGCTCAATGACGCCGTCACTGAGCAGTTCGATCCAGCGAACTAACCCGGATGAGCGGGGGTGGAGAGACAGAGGCATGGTGATCATTGCGGTCACGCGGGCGCTGTGCGCACTCATCAGCGCCTTGAGGGCATGGAAGAACTGGAGCACATGTTCGGGTTGGCAGGAGTTCGGTGGGTAAACTGTGGGGTTAAGTAGAGACGGAATGACGATACGGTGGATTGTATTGGCGGCGCTGGATGTGATTGCGGTCTGGAGTCGTTTGAGGATGGCGAGGAATGGTGACTCTTTTGAGGGCATAAGTGGGATGAAGGTCATATTTGTGATAGACGGATGGGTGAGACGTTTCGTGAGATCGAAGGCGTGACAGAAAGCGGGCGCTTCTTTTGTTGCTGTATCCTGTTCCCCAGGATTAGTCGGGGCTATAATGATCAGCATATTGAACCTAGAAGCAGTGTTTTGTTTCAATGCTCACCACCCCGCGAACCAGCGACTGCTCCAAACTCGCCCAATCGCTCGTATCGCCATGCAATTTTCATGCGATCATCCTTGCGCCTGTCAGACCTCTTCTCGTCCAGGGACTCCGCCGAGCCGATCAGACCAGGCAGACTTCGGCCCCATTGCTCTGGCACTCCAACCACATGAACCTTCTGCTCTTGGATGACACCCTCCGCCGCATAGTAACGTAGCAATGCGCCCGCAAAATCCGTAGTTCCGTTTTCTTCAACCAACAGAAGCTTTCCCATTGGAAGTCCCGCATGGCCTGCAAGAAGATTATCTAGAGAGCGAGTCCCTGTCGAAGTTGTTGGCCGTCCATCATCGGGGGAGGGGCGAATGCCTGGCGTGCTCTCAGGCGCAGCCGGCTGTGCGGTAGCATTGGGAACAGCGTTGCGATCAACTCCAGGAGAGAGACCGATGTTTCGCTTGCGAAAGGACATGACGAATAAGTTCAAATGAAGTAAAAAAAGAACCTAGTAAAGCTATAAGAAGCTGATGTCAAACCAACCAAATCGTTATCGGCGGGGACCAAAAGGCGGCAGAAAAAAAAGCTTCAATTCTCCGATCAACCTCTCCACCTCCGACTCCAACCCTTCTCTTCACCACTCTCGCACCACCAACTAGCCATTGCGGGCCTTTCAACTTACGACAATTTGTGTGCGATCATCTGCGCATAATCTGCCCTACCAAAACCCACATCTATAGCCTCAAAAACCAGCGGTCGCAACCTTCATCATGTCCGACCCGCTCCTGTTCGAAGATACCTTCACGATCACCTCGATCAACGCCCAGAAGTATGACCGCGTCTCTCGTCTTACTTGCAACTCGAACGATGCCTCCCTCACTTTCACCCTGGACGTGAACACTGAGCTGTACCCATGTGCGGTTGGCGAGTCGCTGTCCCTCGCTCTGGCCTCGACTCTCTCTCTTGACGGCAAGGAGGACACCCGCGCCAGCTGGAGGGAGGTCAGCATGGGTGAGCAGACCCTGGCGGATGACTACGATTATGTTTGTCACGGCAAGGTGTACCGCTTTGAGGAGGGTGCCACTAAGGATACCATGTGAGTTTCGTTACTGACGTGTTTGTTCTTGCGGAAACTAACGTTTACATTTTCAGGGCTGTCTTTGTGTCCTTTGGAGGTCTGCTGCTTTACCTAGAGGGTCCCTACAAGAAGCTTGCTCCGTTGAGAATCGATCACGTGTACTTGCTGCTTAAGAAATAGGCTTGCCATTGTTGGAACTCTCTTTTTTTTTGCTTACGACCTTGGCATAGGAGGAGACAGATCTTGGATTGATCTTGAGGCAAAGCCCAAATGGGGAAAAAGTCGGTGTATTTAAGCCGGACCGATGTTCATATCGTTCTTATGGGGTGCAGCGCAGGCGTTCTTTGCATTTTGATTTGGGAATACCAATAGATTATCATAACAAACATGATTTTCATGGGATTGATGAAATGAACCTTGACCGTTCGATAACCAAAACCCGTTTCGGGGCAGGTTGAACTCCGTATAGAGCTTTAATTGATGGCGGCAACTGCACAGTGTGCCTTGGCCTCTTTGACCTAGATCCCCAACTGATCCGACTCTAATGGCTCACTTTAGTTCTGACTCGCGCTTATAGTAGATGGTAATGTGCTTGTCATTGTGCTTATCTTGAATTATTTACTATATCGGGGTTGCAAGTTTTACAAAGACTCCCTTATTGCACGAATAGGAAAAGAACTGCCCCGTACAAATCTAAATATGAAGTTAAGTTGATAGATGTTATGTTCATGATATCTAACCTATGTCTCAGGTTATCAAACAATTTACCTCGCACAATGTGAAGCAGTCGGATACTCCAAGCGACGATGCAATCTAGCAACAATTTGCAAGTAATCCGGCTCATTCTCCGGTGTCAGCAGCCCATGCCTGACAAAGAAGTCAATCATGATATTAGCACAATTGGGCTTGAACTCGCCGCGCGCCAAAGCCACCTTCACCTCTGGAATCGACATCAACTTGAATTCCTCAACCTCATTATCCCCAGGCTTCGGAATAGTCTCAGCATCAAGCCTCAGATCGTATATGTACTCAACCTCAGGCTGAATGAGGCCCGTCTCGCCGCCCGCCCGCACATCCCGCACATGCGAGTACGTAACACATCCCGCGGAGAGAGTTGCAGCGCGCACCGCCGCCTCAGGCAAGGAAGCCTCCTCCATAGCTTCACGTACGATACACTCAAACGGCGTTTCGCCTGTGCACATGCCGCCGGCGACGGTGTTATCAAGAAGACTTGGGTAGGTTTGTTTGTTCTTTGCGCGGCGCGGAACCCAGATCTTGTATCCGGATTCATCCTTCACGTAGCCTGTTAGATGGGCGCCGTACGAGACGATGCCGAAGAGCGGGGTTGCGGCACGCTCCATCTCCAGTAGGAATTCTCCACCTGGGCCGTAGACTGCGTAGTTCTCATTGCGCCAGCCTTTCAGCACTTCGAATTTGTCTTGCTTCACGGCTTCGGCTAGGTCGGCTGCGACGAGCTTGCTCCGGTGTGTCGGGGTGGCCCCTGCGGGTGTCACTAGCGTCACGGTTTGCGCGGTTGAGTCGATGGCCCAGGTGTTGTCCGACCAGGGGAATTTCTCAACGACAGCATTGAGGATATAGCCAAGTGTACAGTCGTATCCAGATACTTTGAATGCATGGTAGTTGTTCAGGTTCTCCGTGTATGCGGCGCGATCATCCTCGTAGTAGGGGAAGCTGCGGGGTGTAAGACGAAAACGCGAGTGGAGGGAGCAATCGAGTTGGAAAGCTTTACTTATCGCATTCGCCAACCAGGTCTGAATTGGATTTGCCCATAATGGCTTCACTTCTGACTGCAGAAGCTGATCCCAACTGTGAAGTAGAAGTCGAAAGTTGATATACCAGACCTTTGTTTAGCCAAGCCAAACCCTTATCGGCTGACGATAAGGGCAGCCCCTCCTATGTCATTTCATCATCGAAAAACAGGACAAAGAGAAGCTTGAAGAAGCTTGAAGAACTGAACAAAGAATCTTGATCACAGCTCAACTTTCCGATCTCCGCTTTACCAGCTGCTTAAGCTGCTTAAGCTGCCTCCAGCTCCTTCACCACTACTACCACCACCCATCATGTTTTCCGTTGTGGTCCCAGGCCGCCCGTGTCTAACAGACATCGTCGCAATAGACAGCCAACCAAATGGCCAAGCAACCAAATTCGCCTTCACAATCCCACTCAGCACATCCCTCAGCGATATAGTTGTCTTTTTCCTACCAGGAACAACCCTCCCCCCAAACACCGGCGCCGCAATCTACGCCCAACTCCCAGACCCGAGCACAGGCCAACCCTCCGGCTTCCGCTTCATCGGCGCATTGGCAGATGATAAGCCTTCGGGTATCTTCACTGTACGCCCACCGGGCAGTGCACCGCACCGCTCAGAAGCCGAAGAAGAAGATGACATGCTCGACGAGGGTGGCGCGAACGGTGCTGCAACGGGCGTGTTGACACTGGGCATTTCGATCGAAGAAGCACAGAATATCGCGCCGCAGCTTGCTGCGCTGGAAATGGAGCGTCCTGCGGGTCAGACGTCTCTGGCGCTGGTCCCGCAGACTGTCGGACAGAGACAGGTCTCGACGAAGGTGCTGGCGCAGCGCATTATTGGCAATGCGTTTAATTTCCTCGCTAGCTTTGCGGAGAATGATAAGGGGCAGGATACTGTGCCGCTGAAGACCTTCCATAATTGGTGGGCGAAGTTTGAGCGTCGCATTGAGGCTGATCCTACATTTTTGGAGCGTGAGGATCCTAATGCTTGATCCGTGGGGTTTTGCGGTCTATAGCGGCTCTTTTTAGATTGCATTCTCACTCTCGATGGGTGTCCAGCGATAAGTACATGACATCTCTTGCATGTATTGGTTAACGAGTCTCTTTCTTGATGTGTGACGATATTCTGCTTTTTCTCTGTGACCTACTGGAGTTCATCTCATGTATTAACAGGTACTATTTTGGCTTTTTATTGATAATAAGACTTTTCGATTCATTGGAAGTGTGCACTTTAGCTAAACCACTGGACATTCATGTCGATCACCAAGCCCACTTAGTCCTGTCTTTTGCCCAGCCGGCCTTACGGGATGGTATAGCCAAGCCCCATTCGGCGAAGGTCACGTCGGTAAATTCACGTTCGGGTTCAAGGGGAACGGGGACTCGGAAACCTGAAATATGCCTAAAGATAACTAGTCAGCCAATTTCTGTTTAGCACTGCTTGTATAGAAGATACCACATACATCGTCCCTGTAACCTGGTCGTAGATAATGTTCCCCAGTCTAGGCACCGCTCTATAACGCCTGAACTCTCTTAGCTCTATTAGCTTTACTCTCGACTGGTAGAAGGGGCGGTTTAAATATACTCCTAAACATCGCGGAACTTTGCGCGGACGACCTCACGCAATGGGATTTAGGATCCTAGAGTTCATCCTGACTTAGTGATTCCCTAGGAACTTTATCCCACACAATATATGTTATATATCTATCTGGGACCACGCTATTATTGCCTTGTTTGCCTTGTTTATAGGCGAGGAGAGTTAAGACCACGGGACAATGTGGTTATTTTAAATCCTTCAGTACGTCTAGCTCACGATGTTTTCGTGGCGGAGCGGCCTGTTGTTGTCGAACCTCGGGGCGTTGGTACTCAGTTCCGGCGATAGGAATCTGAAAATAGATTCTTATAAATGCCTTCTTGTCGCTGTCTGTCGCACTATGGCAGAGATATTTGAACATAGCAAAGGGAGGCCCGGCGCCACCATCAATTTCCCACTTTGTCATTTGCTAGACGTCCTCGGTGAGCTTCTCCTCGAGAACCCACTTTTGGAGTGAGGGTGCCGTGAAGGTAACTTCTGTACCTATGCAAAGCTCAGAGAATCCGAGACAAGACATTTGACGAAGAATTTAAGAAGACCGGGAAAAAAAGGCCTAGAAAAAAGAATAATGAGAGATGAAAGTTCAGAAATAGAGGAGGGAAAAAAGATTGAAGGCATTTAACAATGATATCGTATAATGTCGTGTTTGCCTGTATCTTCAGCCTCGTCGATCAGGCACATTCCATCAGTCGAATCATGGGTTCAACTCCCTGTATTTCTATATCGGCTCTACTAGCACTTTATAACGTATCAGTGAGTATCTACTTCCGGGGTCTAGTACGCTTTTTTCATTATGTATGCTTAGTGATGTATGTTGTGGAAATTAATTGTCATTGCTTTGGATATTCAAGCCCGTGCCACCCATTGCGCCGCCGGGGTTTGGTTATTTACAGGGCCTTGCCCGCTCGCAAGCGTGGCTATATAAAACATGCACTGTCTCATAGAGACAGAGGGACCGGAATCATGACCCTGAGAGCCCGAGGATTCATACACATCAGTCGAATAGATGACTGGTGAGTATTCCACATGCCATTCCCCACTAGGCAGCTGGGTCTGTCGGAGGAAAATTGTCTCGTCGTAGGTGCTAATGAAACCATATGCACATTGAAGATCGCCCATGTAAAGGATAGGCTGACCCAAAACATGCCTCAGCCGTTCAGTCTGGCCATGCACGCGGCTTAGGGAATGCTCAGGAACCCATGGAACCATTACTTCCCCCACAAGCCTCAACTCTGTGCCTTGAGCGGTGATACTTAAACCCACGATATCTGGAACATGATCGTATTGGAGGCCGGCGCATGCAAAGTCCGCAAAATGTAAATCCACTCCCTGGACCTCTAAGGCCACTCCCAGTACTTGGCCTATGGCCTGTTGGAAGCGGTTTCGGAGGCTACGCTCGGTTCCAATACAAACGAACTCGGGACCTTCGTTGTATGGGCAGGGGCTAGCAGCATCCGTAGAGCTGTGACCGAACACTTGGGCATTGTACATTGCCTCGACGGAGCTCCTAAAATCGGGCCACGGGCTCAAAGTCCCGACATACTTCAGATTTTGAAGTGCAGAATCCGTGGTCCTATAGGTTCCCACGTTCAAGGGAGGTAGAGGGGCTAGTATGATTTGTTGTGCAAGGACGCGGTTTTCGGCCATGTTTTCCACTTTTTGTACGAGTCAGTATGAGATGTTTGCTGTCAGGCATAGGAATGTTGCTTACTGTAGCACGCGGGAAGGGAATGTTAGGATGGATCGTGGTTGGCTCAAATGAGATAGATAATGCTTCGGTATTTTGAGACTGGGGGCAGTATGAACAAGGTCAGTCTGGGATCTTATTCATGCACTGAGTTTGCCTGGAATGCAACTTACCTTTCATTGCTCGCCAAGCACTATTGGTAGGTCGATGTCGAGGGATCAAGTTTGAGTTGTTGAGAAAGAGAAGGGAAAGGAAAGAAAAAGGAAAGAAAAAGGGAAGGAGAGGATTCCTTCTTATAGACTGTGACATGGCTTGCCCCTCATCGATGTGAACTGAGTGGGAAGGAACCCTGAGGCTCTTAGAATCAATTATTGACAGAATTCATATGGAAGATCAGCTTATCCTTCTAAAATGAAAATGCTTCTACCACTTAAATATGAAAAATGATATATTGATGTTATCTATGTACTCGTCAGATAAAGTTATATATACAATCCTGGACCGCTTCCAGTCTTCCCAGCGTAAAATAAAAAGAGAACAGGGATATAACAAATCACATAAAACACCAGTGCCAATTCCTCAATATATTCCACCTCGCGCCAGCCAAAAACGTGGGAAAAGAAATCAAGCCAAGAAACCAAAAAAAGAAAGAAAAAAAGACAAGAAACAATCAACATGCAGTCGATCCACGCGAAATATTTTGCAACGACGCATCAGCCCTTAGCCGAATTCCTGGCGCATAGCAAAGACTATACAACTCATCGACGTAAGTCGCAGGCGTAGTCTCAGCACCACCAACAACCGCCTTCGAATCCCGAATACCGAGATTATTCTGATTTGACTTCTCATGAAGATTGGTATAATCAACGCGAACCTCCTTTCGAACAGTGATATCCCGCAACGCAGTCGCAGAATGATCCACAATTGATTCCTGGGAGTGTCGTGAGCCGGAGCCCGAGTTCAATGTCGGCGAGGTCTTGCGGGACGGCCACAGACGCAGAATGGCCATTTTAGTAGAGGAGGTGAGATCGTGGTCGCTAGCGTTCGAGCCCGAGTGCACGTCTGTGCAGAAGAGTTCTTGGCTCAGTTCGCGGGCGAAGTCATCATTGTCGCTGAAAGCTTCGTTTACTTGTTGCTGGACGCGGAAGAGGCGGAAGGGGGTGAAGGTGTAGTCTGGGTTGGAGATTTGGGTGTCAAGTGTGCCGACGACGCAGAATGTTAGGAGGGTGCAGGTGTTTTGCATGGCTGTTTCGGGGTTGGCGGGGTTGGAGGGTCTGCTGCGGCAGGGAGCTGTCAAAGGGCGGGAGGATAGTTGTGCTGCTCCACGTATGTCTTTTGGGATGGTTTGTGAGAGGGAGATGATGGATTTGGTGAGGTGGCCACGGAAGTCGGATAGGTTGGGGAAGGCTTGTGCTGCGGCGGCTGATTGCAGGTAGCGTATGCATGTGTCCATGGACCACCCTTCCATGCGGGAGATGAGTTCTAAGTGGTGGACTTGAAGTTGTTTGATCGGGAGAGTGGCGGATGGGAGGGGGTTGCCGACGCCCTTAGAGGTGAGGATCTCGAAGTGATCGTGGATTGTTGGGCGCATCAAGAAGGAGATGAGGTGCACTCCTTCGTCGAAGCCGCGATTTGAGCTTGCGTAGTCGCGCATATCGCGGAGGGACTCGGATAGGTTAGCTTCGGGGACATGAATGCGTCGGGAAAGCATTCCTGTGACATGCTCGATGGTTGCGAATCGGAATCCTTGTGATCCCAGTCGTGCTGCCTCATGCTTCTCTAGCTGGCGAACGGTGAACATTATTTGGCCCTTCCCAGTGCGGAGGGACGAGCGGCCCATGGCTTTAGAAAGTCGGGAGACGGGGATAGCAGTAGAGATGACATCGTCGTAGAGTGTACCTAGGTCCTGGAGAGGCAGAGAAAGTTGATCGGAGAGCTCTTGGGCTGTGACACAGAAGAGTTGCTTGAATAAGGTATCAAAGTCAGTTTGCAACTCCGTATCTTGATCCATAATCACTCCTCGGGATAGCATGTGTTTCTCAATGGCACTTTCTTCGGAATTGAGGCGGTTTCGCATGAAGGGAACCAGATCTTTCACGACCGGCCAGTTCCGAGTTGCCCTAAACGCCCACAGGAATGTAGGGTGGGTGCGCGTGAGGTCGTCATCTTTGAATGTCTAGTTCGCAATTCATTAGTCAAAACTCCTGCTATAATATAGTAGGCAAAAGACATACCCGTCCGATATAATGATCGACAATCTTCCTCGTGGGGAGCATAGCCTGCGTCGTAACCATGATTCGTCCCGTGGGATCAAAGTAGGCACAGGCAAGAACAAGTTGGTGGGCACGTGTCGTCGACTTTCTGCGATTTCGCCCAGCGATAATAGCGCACATTGACAGCACCGCACATGCAACACAGGCCTAGAGAACGTCAGTCTCCAAAAAAACCCTCATGGCATCGAAGAAACATCAAACATACCAGAACAGTGCAGACAATAACAACCTGACTCCTCGACAACTGAGTTCCCTTCATAGCCCCGCGGTTGTGATCCAGATATACCGTTCCGACAGCCGCAGTCCAATGCATGCCCGAGACAGCACACGCCAATAAGCAAGCACAAATTCCTCGTCTCCACCAGCTATCAGTCCAAGACGCTCTCCAGCGGAAGAAGATGCCCAGAGCAGCAGTACTAGAGAAAATGGCGATGATCGCCGAGCCCACGACATTGGCGACATTGTAGGAGCACCTATAGTTCGAGATTCCGAGTTGACCGACGTAGTGCATACCGCAGACAGAGCTACCTGTGAGCAAGCCTCCGAGAAGGATGCGAAGATAGCCTGCCTTCTCCTCAACGCCCACAGCGTAGAAGGCAAATAGTAGTACTACCACAGGCAGCACGAAGGAGATACCTGTGAAAGAGACATTGTATAGGACTTGCAAGTCTGCCTCGCCATCGCCCAGGACGATGGCGCGATTGCCGATAAAGTGCATACACCAAATTCCTATGCCGCCCATTGTGATTGATGAAGTTAGGAGAAGGTACCTTTTTTATTTTTTTGCTTGATTAGTTCTATGTTTAAATGCTGGGGGGGTGGTAGAATAGAGTCTTAGGGCATACCAGTTGTATAGACCAGACCTCGATGTCCGGCGGTGGAGCAATTCCAATGTGGTTGCGCATCCCATTGCACTGATCACATAAGAGAGGACGATGTACCCGGCCAGGTATGTGACACGCAACGGGGGTTCATGGCCTGTCGACAACATTGTGAAAGAAAGAGAGAAATGGGTGTTTATTATTCCGTTATTCGCACATTGGCAAGTAGCACATAAAGTTGGAGGGCACAATGGCCGAAGACGACTGTTCTAATTAATATAAACGTGACAGCATGGAAACATGGATGTTTAGTATCAATGTAAAGAGCAAAAGAAAAGATATAAAAGATCGCAATGTCTAAATTAGTGGAACAGGGCTAGAGATAAACATCTTATAACATCAGGGTACATCAGCCTAAGCCCCCCCTCTCTCTACCCGCATATTATAGCTCCGCGGTACAGCAAAATCCTCGGATTTCACGTTAGCGAATGAATTGACCTGTAGCACCATGCAGCCCTAGTCCGATTTAGACATGAACTCTACCAAATAATAATGGGCCATGCATTGGCCTGTAAGTGACTCCTTACCCACAACTCGCGTGGCGGATACCATTAAAACACACCAAAAAATAAATTAAAAAAAATAAAAAAATAAAAAAGGTCAATGCCGAGGTCGATAGCTGAAAAAGTTCGAACTAAATTAATTTGATCCAATAGCACGGGATAAACAACAGGGGTCGCACGGCTCCATGGCCTGATTTTAATATGGATTTGGTATTGTAGCCGATACCTTCAACCCACTTCGATTCGGCCACTTCGATTCGCCGAGATCTAGATCGGATCGGTGCGGATAAGGAACGATGGGGGCAGAAGGACTTCTTAGACGTATCAGAGTCCTCGCACAACGCCAATGGTCCGTGAGCATCGGGACTTTTAGTTGGGTAAGTCATCTTGTATGTTGTAGGTAGTAGTCTCGATTTGAGACAAGTCTGACAATAAGCTAGTTAACCATGGAAGCCTTTGTGGTCGGAGTCTCCGAGATTGTCTTTTTCTCTTTACAGAGTACGGAGCACGGTGCACTCCAATAATATAAAGAATGATGGTTTAGTCTTCTATTTAGATTAATTACTGGAACCTTGAATCAGGCTAATAAGCGAATTCAGCTGCACATCAGCTGCAGTCAAATCCCCAAAAAAAAAAAATTGTAAGGGCCCACTTTGAGTTCCTATAAGATCTCACTCTTGTGAGTTGCCTATTATGTACTCCGTACATCCTCCCCACATACAAAGTAGGCCGTTCTTCCGGATATGCATGTTAGTGATGTTACACATATCGATCAATCACATTAACCTCTTAACACGAACGCAACGAAGAGCCCAAGATAAGAGTTCTCTGGAGTCCGGCATGTGCCCCTGAACTACAAGGTTGGAAGGGCAGGGTATATATATTGTACGAAATTTGTGATTGAATGACTGGCCAATTATTAATTGAAAAAAAAGTATCCTTGGCGAAAAACAGGAAGAAGGATCAAGAGTGGGCCTAAGGTATATACTATGTTGTAGATTAAATCCCGGAGCCAAGGCGTAGCCCAAGCGCTTTTCTTATTTCTTTCTTTTTTCTCGATGAATCATAGGAATTGAAGTGAAAGCAGGTTCGTCCACCAAAGCAAAATTCTGATCGATCTGGTTTTCGCTCGGATCGTAGTGTCGTCGGCTAAGGAAGACACGATTTTGGCTTGGAGTGCGACGCCTCTTTGCCCACTTATATGTCAACCTTGTACTCCAAACATACTCGGTAGGTGTGATGGATCTACAATTCTCTGTTAAGGCAGATGGACCGAAGGCACCAACGGCCGTCACTTGTCCATCGCGTGGCTATTATGCGTATAGTTATATAACTAACATAGGATACATCAGAAGTTAGGTGCCCAGTGGCCTTGGAGTGGGTTCGGGGATGGTCACATGTTAAACTGCTTGTGCAAGGTTTGATATAGATCAGTTCTGTCTCACTTCTATCTCTTCAGCCTTCTCTCTCTTTCTTTCTTTATCTCGCTTACTCTTACTAAAATTACTTGATGAGGAAAGTTAAAAAATGAAAGGCAGTCTTGTCATTGAAGCATAGAAATCGCCCTACGTTGTATGAACTCCCCTTCCACGATGCCTACTTCTTCATCTAGGCCTGACGTTCCTTCCAGTCCTTCTTCAGCATAGACATGTTCACTTCGTTCCACCACTCGCCATCCTTGAAGTAACGTTCCTTCTTTTGCCCCTCTGTGTGGAACCCGATCTCTTCACACAGCTCGCTCATTCGCAAATTCCACGATGGAACATTCATCTCCACCCGGTGTAGATTGGCACTGTTAAATGCCCAGTTCAAAGCCCAGTTGATCGCCTCAGTTTCATACTGTTGATGCTCCTTTAGGACGCCGACTTCCAGCCTGGAGCATCGATGATGGACCATATCTCGATGAGATGACTCCAAGAAAAGTGTACCAATGGGTTCTCCATCATCTCTGCGGAAGATAGTTACGAACAAAAGTGATCTGTTCTGGAGGTGTCTGGCGACACGGGAGGTGAAGTTGCGGTCCATCGATCGTGGGGTTGATGCACACCAGTTGATGATTGAAGATGCACAGTTTTGAACGGAATGGAAAACCTCATCATCTTCTGGGGGATTGTAGCTACAAAATTCCAGATTCTCAGAGTAGAACGCGGACTGGTCTTCCATACCACTCGCCGAATCGGTATCCATACTTGAAGTGAGTGATTCCTTGATGTTGAAATGGGCCAGGGATGTGGATGGATATGGTAGAAGGAGAGAAAGACGATGGAAAAGCTACAACAACCCAGTTTATATAGACAGCTATTGAATTGTTTGTCGTCCTGTAGAGACAATCCCTTCTCTTAGCTCTTCGCATTTCCGCCATACAGTTCAAACTTCTAACACGTCTATGGGTGTTTGCCTGTTGTGCTTGCACTCTAGTGATCTGCATATTAAACATCAGTGCTTTTCTATGATAGTTCACAAAAACTGTGGGGAATTTCACTGTAGGTTGCTGCACGTAATCTGTCGATCGGGCTGCATGCAAGCTGTAGCACAAAACATGTACAAAATGTACACTTTCCTTTTTCTAACCCTAAAGTCCTTTGTAACTCTTTTCTTCACGTACGTATTTCTACTGTAGAAACAGCCTGGCTTCCAAGCAAAGTCAAACACCCTATCAACAAGACAACATCAAGCAAAGAGTCTACATCGCAAAGACACCAAAAATTTGTGGAATGGTATGAATTCAGTATTTGATTAGTTCGCCCATCCCTCCAAAGGAAAAAAAGGGAAAAAAAAGGATCAAAGATGAATGGTATGAACAAAGAATCTCAGTTTTCAAATCTATGCAAGGATAGCCTTGAGACCAGCCTGGATGGCAGGGGGTTGGCACCCTTGACCTCCTGCTTGCGCTCACCACCGTTGTAGAAGTGGAAGGTAGGCATGGCAGAGACACCGTTGGCAGCGGCAACCTCGGAGAGGTCATCAACGTCGACCTTGTAGAACTGGACGTTGGTGTTCTCCTGGCTGAGCTTCTCGAGGGCAGGGGCGATGGCCTTGCAGGGACCGCACCAGACGGCGTGGAAGTCGACGACGACGGGGCCAGTGGCGTCAGTAACCTTGGTCTTGTACTCCTCGACGCTAGGAAAGGACGAGTGTTAGCTGGTGTGTCTATAATGTGTTGCGAAATGACCAGGGTGAATGTGTAGGACATATTTCCGAGATCCAAACACAGGTGCGAAAGCGGAAACATGAGAGTAAAGTCGGACTTACGAGGTGATAGGAGTGACACCCATTTTGAGAGAAGAAGGCGTGAAGCGCGGGATAGGTGTGGAAGAAAAGGGTCGGAAAGCGGTGCGCTGGACGGAAGTCGATCGGTTGAGTAGCGATGAAATTCCGGAGATGGTTCTGGGGGTAGAACGAAGAGATGAAGGCTTGAACTGGAGTGGATATAAGTATTTCAATTGGAGGGGTAGAGTGAGGGGCGCTGGGTTTTTATAGGGCCATGACGTTCTCAGCAGAGATGATTAGGTAAGACGAGCTGAATAACCCTTCGGTCTTAGAGGTCCGGAAGTCTCTGGAGCCTGCTAGGCGTTCGACTGGGATTTTTCCAAGGCTGGGAAGTTTCAATGGAGACTTACCATGTTGAGATTTGTCACTACTTTCCGTATTCTTTCGTACCTGGTTGATATCAAATGTTGAGTATCCAAGAGAGGTGAAGCTGACAGGGGATGACGTGCTCTCGACCTCGAGTCGCTTACAAAGAAGATGGAGTCTGGAACTGTCAGCATTTCTCAGTCGGCACACTCCAGACAACCTAGTTAACTATAATTCTTTTTTTTTCAAAAAAATTATGGAACATACATTAGGTGCAAAGGCAGTAAAGGGCATAAACTGTGCAGAGGACTCTTCTATCTAAAACCAGTGATTATTCTCGTTCTCTTTTGTACCACCCAAATGGCACTGTACCTTTTACTAGGCAAACTATTTGAAAGGTACATATATAAATGCTTCTTTTTCTCAACAATATTATATCGAAACCCTTTATTTTAAGTATACTACTAAAATTCGAATACTATTCTAATACTTTTATGAAGATTTAAGGGTAAGTTTTAGGAATGCCTCTAAATTTCTATATCTTATGTTAGGCGAATAGTACCTAGGTAGGTTAAGATTTCAAATCGTAATACTATAAGAGGGCTCCCTAAAACTTAATCTAGAATTGAAATATCGGATTTAGATAGATAATATTATTTTATATATTAGATTAATAAGAATTTAAAGTATGTTGCAGTACTAAACTCTATAGTTTCTATATCCCTAGCGTTGTTGGAGTCGACCTTTGGGAACCGCGAATTTTCGCGTAGTCTTCCGAATATTGTCATTTCCCGTTAAAGCTGTTGCTCTATACCTCTTATTTTAGATACGGTTGGTTGAGTGGTAGGTGATCAATACAAAAATGAAAATAATGTTCCATATGGGTGGTATGGGCATTGCAAAGTATTGGTCCAGCAAGAGTGACAGGTCCTTTACCCCCAGCATCACTCCCGGTGTGGGTGTTGGGCTGTGCGTTGGGCCGAGTAGTAATTAGTACTACCCAATAGAAACTAACTAGTTATGCGGAATCCCAGGAGCGCAGGGCTTATATCAGGTGACATGTAAGAGTGTTTAGACATAGGGGAGACAAACACCCACTACCAGCGCGTGAACTACCCACACGAACAACCAAATGGCGTGGATTTCAGATCTTATTCGAGATTCGAAGCTAGAAACACATTTCCTTCCGGATTGTAGAGTGGAGACAGTCCACAGGTTCCAGGAGTCGGACCCAATTTCTGGACAGCGCCTTGTGACCAGGTCCGAGCATTGGTGTCGGGAAAAAAGGGTCGGAGGTGGTGGATCTGGTAGTGTCTGGCTGGAGAAGCGTACTAAAGGTGGCCGGCCAGGTCAAGATGGCGCGGTCCGAGCAGTCAAACAGATTGATATGGACACGCGCTTTGGGTCTATCGACTACCACCGTGAGTTGGAGGCAATTGCCAAGTTCTCGCACCCTCGCGTTAGTATTAAAAAAGAATATCTATGCGAAGAAAATGCGCTAATATAAATATAGTACGAACGATGCTTCGTCAAGTCATTTGGATGGTACGAAGGGCCTAACCAGCTTTTTATATCAATGGAATACCTTGAGATCGGTGACCTTTTCACGTATCTATATCCAAAAACGCCAACATCTCCATTACCAGAGGCTGAGGCGAGAGAAATTGCATACCAGATTCTCGATGGTTTGAGTATGATGCACCAAAATGGGTTTGCTCACCGAGACTTAAAACCAAACGTGGGTGTCATTTTTAAATGCCTATAGAGAGGAAAACACTGACTAAAAAGTATGGGTAGAATATTCTTATCAAATCGCATCCCCCAAACGAGTGGTGGATCAAGCTCGCGGACTTCGGTATCACTAAACGTATCGGAGAATCATATGGGCACTCGACGACGGTAAAGGGCACCCCAAGATATTTTGCCCCCGAAATTTGGGGGTTTGTTGAACCGGGTAGCGCGTATGCTACTGATATCTGGGCTCTTGGAGCGATTATATTTGAAGTCCTCACTAAGAAACCTACGTTTGCTACTGCCGGATTACTTGCAAAATACAAAACCCAGCAGGACTTCCCAGTTACTATGCTTATCGATGCTGGTATCAGTCAATCGGGTGTCGACTTTGTGCTTTCGCTTATGTGTCCTTGCCCTAATGATCGATTAACGACACTAGCTGCTTTGTCAAGCGCGTGGATACAATCGCAAATAATCCAACCCCTAAGTCCACGAAAAGTATTGAATACAAGCCACGAGCCCCTTCTATAGCTTCGACAATAACGGAAGAGTTTGCCTCATGGACTACGAAGATTTCTCCGGAAGCACCGGAGGGTGTCTTCGGCATCGAGCCTAGCTCAACCGCCGCAGTGGATCTGGTAAATCCTATCCAAGAGAAGACCACTATGACACAGAAGAAGAGTATATATTCTTCTGTGCAGACTACAGTACTAGATGGCACGAAAGATCAAGACGAGGCCTTTGAGCCACGCCTTATAGAACCCAAAAGCCAGCATACGACTAGTGACTCAGTGTATCGCCTTGAATCGCACCAAGAGGCGGAAAATATGTACCGAGAACTTCTTCGGGAGAGAGAGGAGGTAGGCCAGGACATTGAAGACACACTCAATTCTACATACGTGCTTGGTCTCTCTCTCTTTTCCCAGGGACAGTATAAAGAGGCGGAGACAATGCTTCGACGAGCTATCCAGTGGCAAGAGAAGTCGCTAGGGTTTGACCATAAGGATGCCATCGATGCTCCACACTGGCTTGGTGAATCGGTCTTTCGACAGAAACGGTATAAAGAGGCAGAGACAATGTTTCGACGAGCTATTCCGGGACGAGCTAGGGTACTAGGTCATGATCATGAAGACACACTCCATTCTACGTTTTTGCTTGGTCTCTCGCTTTATTTCCAGGGGAAATATATTGCGGCCCAAGATCTTTTCCAACGAAGTCTTCAGGGACGAGGGACGGTGCTAGGTCATGATCATAAAGACACGCTCCATTGTGCACAATGGCTTGGTGACTCGATACTTAACCGGCATCGGTACAAGGAAGCAGAAACTGAGTTCCGACGAGCTCTTCAAGGGCGAGAGAAGGTACTAGGCCATGACCATACAGACACACTCAACTCTATGTGCGGCCTTGGTCACTCGCTCTTTGGCCAGGGACGGTACAGAGAAGCAGAAGTAATCTACGGACGAGCTGTTAAGGGGCGAGAAAAGCTACTAGGCCTTGATCATCAGGATGCAATTAATGCCAGAACGGCCTTGAAGTTGGCCCACGACTACACGGATCACCCGCGTCATGAACCATCTAGATCTCTCGTGGCAAGTCTCTTCGGTGGTATGGGAAAGAGTGCGCAAAGGGACGTATGAGGAGGTGTGGTTGTTGCTGTAGGTGGAGATGGAGGGATGAGGTGGGAGGTTGTTTTGAAGGAATATAATAGAAGATTCTTTATCAATTTTATTCTAATTGGTGTGCGGCAAAGCCCAAATCAGCATCCTTAATTGGAATTTCCATGTTTTCCTTTGCCTGGGTATTCCTAGGTAGAGTGCTTGATCAGCAGAGGTTATCCCATAAATACAAGATGAGAAGCTATGCCGTCCACATCCTCCACTCTACAGAACGAGCCTAGATATATAGATACATGGTATAAGTATACATGTTAATGGATCCAGATGTCGAATGTCCCTAGACTCTCCTATACAGACAGTAATTTGTAGACCAACTTCCCAAGTACGAGCAGGAAAGTTCTCACGCTGAAAACTGTAGACCGTGGTATTAGAAATACAAAAAGCACCAGCAATGGCTGCTGGGCTTTACTAGATACATTCAATCAATGGGAAGTTCAAAAATATCATCATGACTAGATCCCAATGTAAGATAAACCCTGCTTGATCAGAAATTGAAATCAGTAAATTCCCAAAGGAATGTCTTATCAATATCAGCAATGGAAGGGTAGAATGGAAAGGGCCAGAAGCCAACTATGTGCAACGAAGAAAAGCGCTCGAAGGGGAATAAGAATTTATCAACTTGGTAATGTATTCAACAACAGGAATAAAGAATAGAATTTATGTATATGGTAAAGATAAAAACATGGGGCGACGAGGGGGTATCAACAAATCGAATGGGAATGACGAGCTCGCAAGGGGAATAATGGGATACAGGGCGATGAGGGATATCAGAATCATACAAATGGCCAGAGGATAAAGCCGAGGCTCACGGGGGGATATTTTGACAAAGGAAAGTGACAAAAGAAAGTGACAAAGGGAAGGTTCAAGGGACTTTGGCGGCCGATTGCGTCTTAGTCCTGGCGATGGTGGATGGGCCAGCGGTCCCCACCTGACACGCCATGACACAGCGATAAATGAGGTAATGATAAATGGTAGATCCAGTTTGACTGATGTTAAATGGCGATGGCGATCACTAATACTCAACCACGTCTATTCGACATAACCAATCTCGGCTTTCGCGCTGGGGATTCGCTGCAATTCCGGGGTTGTCTCCTCCATGATGTAATCTTCTTCTGCGGAGATGGGGGTCAAAGAAGGGAATCCTCTAAGCAATCCTTGTGTAGACTTGGGACGGACCACCGGGTTCACCAGAACAGCACGGCGACCGACCTCGTTATGCCATTTTTCAGCAGGGTTGCTTGCTGAGCTGTCTGTGGCTTCTGGTTCGAGCTCTGGCTCACCAAGGGCATTGCTGCTAAGAGGGTGGGACTCATCCAGTGATTCAACCTCTTCGGAGGCATCTGCGGGGGACTCTACCGAGTCTCGGCCAAATGAGTTCAAATTTGATCGAACAGGACTGCTGGGCTTTTGTGACATCCGACGGAAAAACTGGCCGGACATCCAAGATCCCTCAGAATCAATTGAAGCCAAAGATTGGGAAAGTGGTACGTTATCGGCATCGATGTCCATACTATCCGAAACCCACGACCGATGATGGCTTCGGTTCGGGTTTTTAATGTCCACACCGGGGCTAGGTGTTGGCTCGGGCAAGGAAGTCCCATCCCTTTCGAGAGAGGACTCTAGAACTTCCTCTGGGATATCTGGCGACTGTAGGCGAGAATCAGGAGGCGACAGGGGCTCGTCGCCAAAGTGTTCAGTAAACTTGGATTGAGAGCGCTTCACGGTTCCAGTGGGCATTAGGATTCTCGGAGGGATGATTGAGGGCGGAGGGGGCGATGACTGAGTCTGAATTTTGTAGAACGATTCATGCGAGGCGTTGGAAACTTCAGGAGTAGCGTCGTGGAATCGCTCTTTGTATGTCCGCTTGAGACGAGAAGATCCACGCCGGAACAGGGAAGTAATGGTATTCCCCCGACGACCGCTGGTGTCGGAAAGTCGGCGTTCTGAGTCAACTCCTCTAGAGATGTCCGATGTTGAGCTGGGCGCACAGATTTGTGACTGGCTTGGACTATTTAGCCCATGTCGAAGGGACGAATGAGATGGAGAAAGTGTAGTCCGGGACATGGTGATATCGTTTGATGGTGCGAAACTAGGACGTTGAACCAATCTTCGCTCACGAACGGAGCTATCATCGATGGTTCCAACTACGCGAGAGCTTTCCCTCGATTCACGTCCAGTGTTCTCACTGCGCTTGGAAGTTCGCAGCGGCCACGGTTCGTTCTCTGGTGCGGCAGCCGTCGGTTCCTCAACTCGAGGGGCGATGGTCTCTTCGTTCAGGACAACGTCCTCAGGTTCGGCAACCTCAGCGATCGACGGCTCTGGTTGAGTGATTTCGGGTTTGGGTTCGGGTTCGGGCTCGGCGTGGGTGGCAGCCTGGAGCTTTTCTTCCTCCGCCTGCTGAGCATCAGCCCTCTCCTGTAGCTTTCGCCGCAACCTTTCCTGGTCATCGACCTGCTTCTTCTCCCGGCGGCGACGGTCGCGATCCAGCAGCTCTCTCAAAGCCCCGGCATCTAATGAATCAGCAAGTTCATTCACTCGTCGCTTGGAGTAATAGAAATCCTCCTCAGACATGCTCATGGCCTGAAGCTTCTCTCTCTCCTGTCGACCAGAAGCGGGCGGGTTACTACTTCTGGCGGTCTGCAGGCGAGGGGCTTCGACGTAACGGACGACGGGGCGTGGGGTTAAGGCGGCAAAAGCATTGACCTTATAGGTGTATGGGTCGGAGATATCAGACGTGGAGGAGGTGGCGGAGTCACGGATGGAAAGGCTGATGTCAGACATGTACCGGTCGGCACGCCTACCATTTGCCTTTCGGCGGCGATTTTCCAGTACATAATCGGACGGACGATGGGGGATATCGATGGGGGTTGACGAGAGCATACGAATCTCACGCTCGCGCATGATCTCGTTTGCCTTGCGCTTGCTCAGCTTGCGTCGTAATTTATTCGGGACGTGTGCATTTTGGCTTGGTTTTCGCCTCAACAGGGAACCTGTTCTCGAGAGTGGGCGGTCACGTGGCGGAGGGTCCCGTGGATGATCGGCAAGGGAAGCAGAACGGTCTAGTGATGAGATAGGTCGATTTGTGGGCACGAGGGCCGAGCTGCGCCGGCTGTCTGCAGCATCCACCCGTGACGTGCGGTTGGTTTGGCGTTTGGATTGTTTTCGGCCCAATGTGGGCTCCATGGTAGGGTCAGCAAACGAGGAGTGAAGGTCAGCAGCTTCGGCACCGGTCACTTGGATGGTGTGCCGCTTGCTCTTGCGACTAAAGGGCCATATCGCCATGGCACTTTGGGGGCACAAGCCCAGGGACAAGTGAGATCAGTTATCGGTATCAGGTCGGTGTGATGATAGATTGACTGAACTCATGGAGGGTGGAAAGGAGAGTTGAGAAAAGTGACTGAGAGTCAGGGTGATGACACAGGTGTCATGGAAAGAGTGATGGTGGAAGGGGTTGAAAAGGTGAAGTTCTATCAGAGGGAAAGAGACAGGGAGAGAGGGAAAGAAAGAGAGAAAGAGAAAGAGAGAAAGAGGAAAGAGAAAGGAAGTGAAAAGGCCGAAAAAAAGAAAATAGGAACGCCCAAAGGGAAATCAAGAAATGGACCATGTTTTTTTATTTTTTTATTTTATTTTTTGTTTTTGCCTGAAAAATCGAAAAACTTGGCCTTTTCTTTTTTTCTTTATTTTATTTTTTTCCTATTTTACTTCTATTATGTATTAGTTATATATTGTGTATTTTATATTATATATACAACTATCTTAATATTCTATAAAAACAATGTTTACAGTTGCACGGGTACCTGGTACCTTGACCCTAAGATTGTCGACTCTTCAAAAGTGTCTGTCACACAGAAGAGTCTAGATTTCTTTTGGAAATTGGCAGTTGACCTGTGGGGGAAGAGTGGACTCTCGAGTGACGCACTGTTTATAAATACTATTATGAATATCATAATATTATAAATTTAGATTCTTGATTTGGTACTCCGTACAGATTATTGAATATATATGGATAATAGATAATGAATATATTCAATAACTACCTATCTCTCGGAAATGAATAATATCGCAACCTTTAACCCTGTACAACCTCCAATGCATACCCTCGTGCCCTCTCACGCGGGAAGGCCAAGCCACCGTTTAAACGCCCAGTGGAGCCCTGAGTCCGTGGTAGCCCTTTCGTTGGGTTGACACGCGGGAAGTCGATCTTACCTAGGTACGGAGTATGTACAATGTACGCACTTTGACCAATTTCCAAGGCACCTATAGGATCATCGATTTTAGGAAAAAAAGTTTCTGTACTTTTCAAACTAGTGATGAGAACCTGCAGGGACGATATGTAAATCAATCCTATTGTAAGGGGAAATATATCGTGCCTATACTTGAATAGAGAAATGATCGGCGAATTTCGTTTATGGGGATGTATGTCTTAGTACCTTCTAATTAGTTATATTGTACAGAGTAGGGTTACAATTTATTACCACTAATTCCAATTCTGATGCCTATTACATTATGTCGTATTATATACTCCGTATTGTCTTGCCCTTTCTGCCTAGGTTCTATTCAATATCATTCATATTCAAGGCGTCTAGCAAACCAGTACGACATGCGAAGCATGATGCTAATTATATCCATTGAGGATCCAGCGGGTTGCAAGGTGTCAGCGCTATTATTTGATTTTTGATTCAAGAAGGTGCAGATTAGATCCAGGGTTCTATCTAAGAGCCCCTCCTTACCTCTATTACAGATCCTATCTTCAATGTTCCTATCCTCCGTACGGAGTATTGTATTCCCTTATTGTTTCCCACCTTATCTCCCTTGTACAGGTACTCCGCACCTCTCCACAAATCATTGATGTTTACAATAGCGTTGGCTTTACAACATCAATACCACCCCCACTTCCGGTCTCAGATTGTTCCACCGTGGTTCCTGCATTTTGATCGCAACGGTCAACCTCAAGTTACCTC